CGCCGGCGGCGTCTGGGAATGCCCAGGAAAGACGGATGACGGGTACCACCAGCATGTAGGTGGCGATCTGCACCACAACGCCTGTGTACACCACAGTGCCTGCGTGTACCACAACGCCTGTGTACACCACACCGCCTATGTACACCACAGCATCCGCGCGCAACACAGCGTCAGTACGTGCCACCGTGCCTGCGGGCACAACAGCTATTGTGTACACCACAGCGCCTGCGTACACCACATCAGCCGTGCGCAACACAGCACCAGTGTACACCACAATGCTTGCGTGCATTGTGGTGCCTGCGTGCACCGCGGCGCCTGTGTGCACCACAGCAACCGTGTGAACACAGCACCACTGTGTTATATAGAATGTTAGACGGAATCCTTATGACAAAATGGAGCGCTTGTGGATTCCATAGAAAGCAATAGAAAAACGAATCCTGATGAACAAGGGAGCGCCGCTGGAATGTACGCGTCCTCCCGAGTCCGCCCGCATCACCCTAACTCCTCCCATCTGCGCCCAGGAAGCTCCAGCTAAGTTGGCCGTGCGAGAATCAAGTGGACCGATTCAATAGACCATTCTGCGGTGAATGCTGACATGTGCACGTGCGCTGTAGCGCCAACCCGCACGACAGGGGGTGAAGAGGAGGAGGAGGAGGAGGGGGAAGAGGAGAAGGAAGAGATGGAAATGGAGGAGGAAGGAGGAGGGAAAAACGTCGCATTCGATTATCCGCATTTCCCTGCACGCAGGCATTGTGGTGTACACTAGCGCTGCGTTGGTCGCGGATGCTGTGGTGTAAACAGGCGCTGTGGCGTACACAGGCGCTGCGTTGCACGCAAGCATTGTGGTGTATACAGGCGCTGTGTTGCACATGGTTGCTGTGGTGTACACATGTACACCGGCGCTGTAGTGTACGCAAGCATTGTGATGTACACAGGCGCTGCGTTGCGCACGGTTGTTGCGGTGTACGCAGGCACTGTGGTGTACACGCGCGCTGTGGTGCACGCGAGCGTTTTGGTGTACACAGGCGCAGTGGGGCATCGCCACCTACATGCTGCTCGCGTTGTCGTCGTCGTCGCTCGTCGGTCGTCGCTCGTCGCGTCGTGCGCGCGGGCGCGGCTGCCTTGCCGGAGCCACACGGCGGGGGGGGGCGGGGGCGTTACGTCATGCCCCCCCCCCGCCCCCCCACCCATGACGCCCATCATCGCCGAACATAAAGACACGCGCTCTGAGCTAGAACTTGAGCGCGCGCGAAGCGCGCGCGATGGTTCTAGTATATGTATGCGTGTCGAAAAATAAAAAGAAACTGGCCTCCATCCGTGTACTTGCTGCAGATGTTTAGGACGAGTGCCCGCGGCACCCAGGCTCGAGCTACGGTTTGAAAAGAAGCCACCCTCAATCCGCGCAAGCGCTGTAATAGTTTCAGACGGATTAGTGCTCCGCTGAGACGAGAGCCACATTTTGAAAACGAGCCGCCTCCACCTGCAACAATGTTCCAAAGTTCCGTCTTCAGGGTCATGAGTTGTGAGGGTGCTTCAGGCGAAACGCCCGCCCCGTCCCACTGGCACTCCTGGTGGTGCGACGAGGCGAGTCGGTTAGAAGGACGCGGGATGGCAGAGGAGGAGGAGGAGGAGGAGGAGGAGGAGGAGGAGAAGGATGAGGAGACGGAGGCGCAGCAGGAAGAGGAGCAGCAGGATGAAGAGGAGAACTACGACGAGGGCATCGAGCAAGAGACGACGACGACGACGACGACGACGACGACGACGACGACGACGACGACGACGACGGCGACGGCGACGGCGACGGCGACGGCGACGGCGACGGCGACGGTGACGGCGACGGCGACGACGACCAGAGTAAATCCAGCACGAGCCGCTGACGCTGCAAAACACCACCCCGTCGCAGGCCCCCTCCCCAAAAGACAGGCCAGGAACGTTTGCTCAGAGGCTTAGCGTGTCGCGTCGCCGGTTCTGGCCCACCACGCTTCGGGGCGACACGCCAAGCACGTCCCAGTTGCCAAGCGTCAGCACGCCGAGTTTCTCCCAGCCTCCCGCCCCACGCCCACGAGTCCGATCGGCGCGCCGTCGGCCCGTAGGGGCCACCGCCACGACACACTACACCTTAGGCGATGCTTAAGAAAACTTAAATTTTCGGCCAGAGTCTCGATGATTCTTAACGTTTCAATGTAAATCCTAAGATTTGAATGGAACTTTTGGGTTTTTATTCGAGTTCTGAGACTATGAATTTCTTAACCCATGATTTCTAAAGCATTTCGCAAGGTGTACGCAAGAGTTCCCCACCGGACCCGGACATCCGGCGTCGTGATTTTGTACGCAGCATGGCTCCCCGGAGGTTTGGACAGGGCCAGCTCTTCACGCCGAGCCGTTTCTCAGATTCCCAAGGCCCCGCGAGGGCCCCCAGAGGCCAGGACAGAGCAGAAGCTCCCCGCCGCTTTTTTTTCTTGGCGCGAGGGCGTCAGGGAACACGAGCAAGTCAGTCATTGTGGCGAACACTTCGCCAGGAGGAGGGGGAGGAGGGGTCTCCTCGGTCCCGCCGTTCAGTTGCTCATTATGATTGTTGTCATCATTATTAGCAGTATCGTTGTTATTATTACTATTATCATTACTGCGCTGTTCATTATTATCCGTAAGGGCTTCGCCCCCTGCCGCCGGCCCCCTCTCTCGGAGAATGCGCTCTGCAAGAACTATGTCATGAGGCCTGGGCGCTGTCGTGAAGCAGTGTCGGAACTTCATGCGAGGCCGACTCGTAATGAGCAAAATCTATTGATCACCAGAGGGGTAACCACACCTGGCGATTGGTAAGACGTCCTGACCCTGCGGATCTGCGTGAGGGGTGCCACCGGATTTCAGAAATGTGGCGAATCCCATGTGTTTTTGGACCCTGACCCTACGGATCTGCGTGAGGGGTGCCACCGAATGTCAGAAATGTGGCGAATCCCACGCGTTTTTGGACCGTGGCCCTACGGATCTGCGTGAGGGGTGCCGCCGGATTTCAAACATGTGGCGAATCCTTTGTGTTTGTGGACCTGACCCTGCCGATCTGCGTGAGGGGAGCCGCCAAATGTTTAGAAATGTAGCAAATCCCATGTGTTTTTAGACCCTGACCCTGCCGATCTGCGTGAGGGGAGCCGCCGAATGTCAGAAATGCGGCAAATCTCATGTGTTTTTGGACCCTGACCTCGCCGATCTGTGTGAGGGGTGCCGCGGAATTTCAGAAATGTGGCAAATCCCGTGTGTTTTTGGACACTGGCCCTACCGATCTGCCTGAGGGGTGCCGCCGAATTTCAAAAATATAGCGAATCCCTTGTGTTTTTTGACCCTGACCCTACGGATCTGCGTGAGGGGTGCCACCGAATGTCAGAAATGTGGCGAATCCCACGCGTTTTTGGACCGTGACCCTACGGATCTGCGTAAGGGGTGCCGCCGAATTTTAACAATGTGGCGAATCCTTTGTGTTTTTTGACCCTGACCCTGCCGATCTGCGTGAGGGGAGCCGCCGAATGTAAGAAATGAGGCAAATCCCATGTGTTTTTGGACCCTGACCCTGCCGATCTGCGTGAGGGGTGCCACCGAATTTTAGAAATGTGGCGAATCCCTTGTGTTGTTTGACCCTGACCCTACGGATCTGCGTGAGGGGTGCCGCCGAATTTCAAAAATGTGGCAAATGCCATGTGTGTTTTTGGGCCCTGACCCTACGGATCTGCGTGAGGGGTGCCTCCGAATTTTAGAAATGTGGCAAATCCCATGTGTTTTTGGATCCTGACCCTGCCGATCTGCGTGAGGGTTTGCCAGCAAATTTCAAAAATGTGGCAAATCCTGTCTGTGCTTTTGGACCCTGACCTCGCCGATCTGCGTGAGGGGTGCCACCGAATTTCAGAAATGTAGCAAATCCCATGTGTTTTTGGACCCTGACCCTGCCGATCTGCGTGAGGGGTGTCAAATTTTACCCACTCCAGCAATTCAGACAATACGTTGTGGCCGTGGTAAAAATGCCTGTTTTGGGCCTCCCCCCCTCGCGCGGTCCATCAACAAGGAACAGCAATCAGCAAGAAGCAGAACTGTAACAAGGAACAGTAAGCAGCAAGAAGCAGACTTGTAACAGGGGAAACTGGAAGCTGCAACTGGCACAGGAAACTGCGAACCCCCGGCCTACAGCCTGGTGGCCCCACAAGGGAGCCGGCGGATTATTCCTTTACCTCCTGTTTCTCTTACCTTCCCCCTGGCGATGGTCGTTCGACCGGCCGGCTCTTCTGCTTCCCCCCGCTCCGAAGCATGCGGTTTTTGTTTGCCTCTACTTGTCGGCGCTGCGGCGCCACCGCCCAGCCCCGCGTAATGCCGACCCGCAAGACGAACAGGCGCAGCGTCCAGCGTGTCCAGTGTCTAGCGATGACCGGGAGGAGTCTCAATAGGGGGCCCCATACCAGGGCATTGCTAACCATGGCTTCAAAGACTCAGCCTGGAAAGGACGAAGGACGAGGCGTGTTTCGACCCACGGTTGCACCTTTCTCGGGCGCGCCGGTGCCCATGTTTATCGAGGTCCCCGCTTTAGGGGGCCCTGGCCCTAGACTCCAGGCCTCCCAGACTGACGCCGCCGATGCATCGCCGATGCATGCGCGATGCGGCGCGGCCCTCCGACCCCATCCCATACATAGAGGCGGGGCGCGGCGGCC